GCGGGGGGGCGGAGCTGTCACTCGGACACATGGCTAGGAGAAGCAGCGGTGTGGGGGGGGGGGGTAGGACATGGGGACGGACCGTGTCTTCTGTGTTTGTGTGCTGCAGCCCCCTGGGCTGCTCCTTTCTCCTTCTTCCAGGTGACCTTAAACAACGTGGAGGTCTGCAGCGAAAACATCATGACCCTGAAGAAGACGCTGGAGGTAATGTCTGGCACCTTTACGTGCATCCTATAAGCAGCCTTCCCGTCCGCTCCCGGACAGCTGGGGGGAGGGACAGTTCAGTGGTTTGAGCATTGGCCTGCTAAACCCAGGGTTGTGAGTTCAATCCTTGAGGGGGCCATTTAGGGATTGGGAGCAAATCTGTCAGGGCTGGTGCTTGGTCCTGCTGCGAGGGCGGGGGACTGGACTCGCTGACGTCTCGAGGTCCCTGCCAGCTCTAGGAGCTCGGTGTAGGTATATCTCCATATTTTAGGGGCATGTTCCTGGCCAAATCCAGGGGCTGCTGCTGCAGATGGGGTGCTGAGACTGCCAGCGGGGGAAGGGGACGGTGTGCACCTGGCAAGCCGTGTGGGGCAGGGACTCCTGGTGCCATCTGTCCAGCTCCGAGCGTGGCAAGCGGCCGCTCTGTGACGGGCTCCAGGGTGCGACTCCCAAAGACACACACGTCAGTGATGACCCTATTGCTGGTGGCGCTGTGCAGCCAGAGACTCGTAGCCTTTCACGTGGGGACAAGTCCTGTCCCGAACTCTCGGTGGCCCGGGCTGAAATCTCGCCCAGCCCAGGGCTCGTTTGTGAGACCTTGGAAGATGCTAAAAGCACCCGCAGAGCCGGAGCTCCGCCGTGCACTCGCTAGGAGAATGCCTCTGCCCCCGCCTGTGAGTGTCCCTCGGTACCATGGAGATCGTTTCTCCACGTCTGGGGTTGGATGCTCTTGAACCTTCTGAGAGTCGCTCCGACTGTGGCCGGCGCTTGGCCACAATGTCCCACCCGTGGGCAGGCACGAAGTGTTCTGTGCTAGCGCCTGCGGGGGGTTGTGTTCCGGAGCTGGGTGCTGTACAAACACAGACTAAAAGACCAGCCCTGCCCCAAAGAGCCGACCGGCGAGGCCGGGGCCA